TTGGCTGTTCTACATTCTCCTGTCGTACAGTTACTAGCGAGACACAAACGCCATTCGTCGAACGACGAAAGCCCTCCCAACGTGCCTTACCGTACGTTCAGGTTTGCAGGTCAGAGATGTAAATTGCTGTCCGCCTCAACGGCATGCAACGAACTTATGGATCTGCGTAAAATTCGGTTACCTTGGAGTATGTCGATCACGAGTGCCAAATTGAATTTGAAGTGTCCTTGCTAGAGCACGCACTGATTTCTTAATTTCATTTTCAACGGCTGAAAGAGTGCTCATGACGAACACTTAACGAAAATCGGCAGTTTCTCCCTATTTCTACCGCCCACGCTAGGTGATATCGCAATCTATACTGTTGAGATATTTACCTAATCCACTGAACCGTTTTGTAGGTAATAAATAAAGCTTAATCATGCCAAATCATGAATCTTTTCAGCGTCTCTTTTGATGGGTTGCCCAAGACGTACACTTAACGGTTTTCATTTCTCTTTAAAGCTTACAGAAATTGATACAGAAACACGTGATTTGCTTACATTTATTATTTACTGGTTTTGAGTAAGAGCTAAGATGTCATCGATCAAGTGAAGAAGTTAGATTGACAATGAGCAGGACGCGTTGCAGGAAGAACCGACAGTTGTTTAACCAGAGAGTCCATTGACTGCATTGCAAGAAGGAGTATACGGCTCATGAGAAGATTGCCAGATCGATGGCAAAATGAGCTGAAGGAATTCTTTGGACCACGAAGGATACGAATCAGACGAAGCACACGTCTATGGCAAAGTCCTGGAAAGGCTTCAACTATCGGTGGAAAAGGCATGTGCTGATGAATTATTGCCGCATTATCCGCCATCCAACTTTCTGCTTATAGATGCGCCATGAACGCAATTCATGATTCCTCCATCATTTCCTATTTTCTGTTTTCTCCCTCCATCGCTGACCAACTAATTGACCATCGGATTATCCTAGAGTGTTCTTGGACAACCGACTCGATGCTGGTGGTCTAGCTGAACCCAGTTCGTAATTCTTGATGTCCTCCGGTTGTCTCTCAGGAGATTCACATGGACATTCTCCCTTGATTTGATGTAAGGCAAAAATTATGCTTTTAATTCAGTTCGTTGTCGAATTGTGCATTAAGAACCTGATCACAGAGGGAGACCTTGCACAATCTTCGATAAAAGTCTTTTTGCCTACTCACCTATTCGTTCTTCTCGGCTTTAGTAGCAAGTCAACAGTCAGCGTCGCAGATCATGATGGGTAAGACGCTGAAATCGAATAGTTCCTTCTACGTCCGCATGACCAGCTCTCTATCGAGTAATGATGTTTTAATACAATTAAAGCTGGCCGATGCCGCCTTCCTTCTTCGGCTGATTTCCCCCAACTAGGAATACATGCGATTCACTTAACGGCCAAGGCATGCATAGCCGATGACTTCTTCGAATTTTTCACCATTTTGGTAAACAGAGTCCTTGAGACAGTGGTCGTTTCCCATTCTTTTCCTCTTGGAGAGGTTAACATCCAAACCGATGAAGAGAGATTCTTTCCACAACTGTTCGATCAGCTGTTGTAGTTCCATCGTTTCTTGTAAGAAGACGATGCAGCAGCCAGCGGAAAACAATTGCGTTAGCTGCTCCCCATGAAAATTACCAGAGTAATAAGTTTATTTCTAAACTCACACATTTACAAGCAAATTTGTTTTCATCTGACAGCTGACTTATCCTCGTTGTTGTGGGCCAGTCAGCACGTAGATGGACGCTCATTCGATGTCCTCTTTGCTTCACCGTTTCTAGAGAATGGTTGTTTGACAGTTCGTTGGGAGTGCCAACCATCATGCCATCCAACGGATTACGAGGATCGAAGCAGTTTGAGAGATTTTAGCCAATTACAGATATAATAGCAAGTGGCATAGAGCACCACCGCCTCAACCTCTTGGGGTGAGCCTCGGTGCCACTTTCAGACCTAAATCTTAATCTCCGGTTGTATTGAACAGATAGTGACCACGTTAACTACTAAAGTCATTCAATCAACTCAGCCTAAAGAACCAAAACACTACACTCATATCAATATCAGCACAAACGTTTTTCGATCCACTGCTGAATGAAAGCCTTCAAAGACTTTGCCATTAGTCTATGTTATTCTGTCATTTTCATCTATCTCGACCTAGCGAACTTCTTTTGCTTACCCTGCCATCCACCTGAAAGTCTTCCTATGGGCCGTTTTACTCTAGCTTGGAACCCAGCGAAATGTGTCTCTAGTCCAGCGACGATCGCATCTTCTTGCAACACGCTCTGCCCTAACTTACCTGTGAAAGCCGATTATTCAAGTCTATAATCAACCCTACGAATGAAAAATTTAATGGCCAAAACACGTTTGCAAGACTGTAGCTGTTTCTGTCTAGGAAACCATCTTTGTGCCTGAAACGGTAGATATTTGACGAGTGCTGCCTTCCTGTTTACGTATGGATGAAAAACATGGACTCCAAGTTTCAAAGCTTTTCAGACATTACGAACACTGCCATTTTCACTACCATATTACAAATATTACTATTTTCACATTTCCACCAGTTATTAAATATTCTACGAAAACATTATTCAAACAACTCTCTTGGGATCTTCGCTTTTGGAAGGTAAGATGACTGGGTGCCTTGGTACTGAACAGCAAAGGACGCGATTTGGATCGCTCGGCGCAGAATTTCTTCGATTGGTAGATGTCCGTGACAGGCAGCGTAGAAAGCTAGGCTACCCGCAAAGGCGTCTCCAGCACCCTAATTAATTAGTAAAGAATCAACAAGGTACACAATAAAGTATTAAAGCACAAACATTAAAGTAACTTACTTTTAGGCTTGGCACAGTTATGAACGAGATTTAAGCGTTTGCTGATAATGTTCAAAACTCAAGTTCATAAGTACTGGATGATGGCTGAAAAATGTTTTTGATCATGGATATAAGCAGCAAAAATTAGACTTTTCGATGGACTGCTGTTGGGACAAAGCTGAAAAAGTTTCAGAACACTACGATGGTATGTACTTGTGATCAGGATGTCACAATAAAGGTTCACAAAGAAAATGGAGCGAAAGATTATTTCACTAAACAGAGGTTTGGCACTGAGCACTCTTGGGCCTTGGAATTTCGCCTCACAGCTCTTCCTTTTGGGGGTAGACCTGCCGCCATTAAAATGTCCTCCAGGAGCAGTTGTGACAGATTTCCAATAGAAATAGTTGGCTTCAGAAATAGTAGAATGAATGCTACAAGTCTCAAACATTACGATGATGACAATAAATTAATTATGGCAAATTAATTAGGGAAACTATCCACTACAATACCAACTATCCATTGGTTATTCTTTTCATTACCGCAGCAGGCTGAAAGCGCCATGCCGAAGCTCTGTGTTTTACCGACAGACGATGGATGCCCCACTACACGTTAAGATGTAACCACCAGAGGTGTTGGGTCAGACATAGCGGAAGCCTGAATATCAATATCAACGTAATGACTTGATTCAATCGGGACAGCAATCCCTGAGTGTTCGCTGTACCAGTGAAATATTATCACACGCTATTACCAGCTGAACAGCATGCATCGGTCATGACGGCCACGTGATGAGCACCATGTTATTCCATGCAGCTTCGTTCCGTTTATTCAGAACCAGCATGAAACGATTAAGTTGATATTTTGGAGATGGAAGCTGCCAGTGGATAATGTCATGCACATTAGAAACAAAATTGTTGTTCGTTGTGTACACCGTCGTTCAATAAAGTCTTCAACATGACAGTGGTGTTTGGCCAGTATTATGTGACAGGAACGTTTCAAATCATTTTGAGAATTGATTGCAGGAGAGCTGGATCAGTATTAAAATTCTTAGCTTTCTTCAGACCATTAAGGTACGTATACTCATATATAATGAAAGGCGTCGTTAAATGAACGTAGTAGCCAAGTTACTTCCTCAATTCACTTGGATGTTTGGGATTTTCGCGTTGTGGAGCACATTCTCTTCCGCCTCTACCAAGGCTATGTAAAGTATGGTATCTGCAGTACTTAGATACGGTGCTTTCCCGCGTCGAAAGAATCAGGTGACCATTAGTGACCGTTAAAATTAGTATGCTACTTGTTCAAAGAGCACAAAATGTTTTACGGTGACTCGTTTAACTTACCGTCGAATCAATGCATTTCACCGCTGGTGCAGGTACGCAATGCACCTCGCGGTCAGAAGTCGTGGCGAACACGCAGCCACGTTCACCCAGCGTTATGACGGCTACTTCGCATCCTCTGTCTAAAAAGTACCCTAACGAGGCCTTTGCGTTTTCGTCGGTCGTGGAGTTTACGCCTGTAATGATTTCAGCCTAAATTACAATGTGCAGCTTTTAACGAAGTAACGATAATGAAGTTTGATAACGAAGTTCAACTATTTGCAGTAAATCTGACGTTGAAAGTTTATGGCTGGAGCACGGTTAGCATAGGGTCATTGCAAAGCTTACGGTAACCTCTGACCGAGGAAAATAACTCTGAATCTTTCTTGACCACGTTACACCACTATACCACTACATATTGCTTGCGTTGATGAAAGCTGGTAACATCAGCCAGAGCCTCACCGTCACGTCCGAACGTTTAAGTTTCATTTTGTGTATTGCTATGTGTATTATTAATAAAGTCTTGATGCTTTACTTTTATACACAAGAAAATATATGCATATATGCAAAAGTTCAATATCAAATATATAACACTGAAACCAAAACAGAAAATTGAAACTATAAGCATAAACATGAAGGAAACTACTATAGTCGACCTCATAGATGACTCTCATATAGCTCATAAGCTTAAAAACTAGGCTGTATTTAGCATTTTTCGCGAAAGTTCTGCTTTACCATCATAAGCTCTAACCAAGGGCTGAACTTTCAAGTGAACTGCTCGAAAGTTAAAGTACTGAGAATGACCCGGAACAGTCACAGGGCGCTGACGAATTCACTGGCTGAAAATGGCACTGTCGACGAAGTTGGGGACCGACAACGGTTCTTTGGCCTTTTACGGAATGCCTGAAAATGTCGTCACGCTCTTGTCGTGTTACAATGCCTTGGCTACACTTTTTGGCACCTTTCAGCTCGACTAAACTTCGCAAATTTTTCTAATATCCCGCTGGTTCTCACATTAGTATTCGACAGGCATACTCTACATTCATAACTGGTCATAAGTATAATTTTTGAATGTCAAAATATTGGCCAAAATTCGAGTTCTGTCGTCACACCGTCGGAAACGAAACGAGGTGTATTCTAGAAATCAACTAACAATGCAGCTACTGGCTAGCTTTTCTGTAAACCAAGGAAAAGTTTGACATTTCACTGAAAGCTGAGGTGGCAACTTGTGCTGTAAGCGGCCTGTAAGATATGCATATTGCTCATCGACTTAGTGCATTGCCTTTATCACTTGAGTACCAATCCTCTACGATGCCGAGAGCTCGAACCCTTAAGTAACCATTATTATTATATAGCATTTAAAACTGACATATGTGATTTTGATAGCTTAAAGCAATTACGCGAAATTCCACCAGAGTTATGGACGCGCTGATCAAACTAGTCAATTGTTGCGAAAACAATAAATTTTATCAAACGTTTTTCAGTTCCGTTTCTAGTGATGGAACAACAAGAATCAAAACTCAATTTCAACTTGCTCCATTGGTTGCCTGAAAAAAACCTATGAAATGTAGATGTACCGTAACAGTCCACGAAAGCAGTACACCGTGGGAGACAAGTTTACTCACATATTTACTCACGATACAATCCTTTCCTGATGAGACCAGGTTTCGGCTGAGACTGCCAGCCCTCTTCATCAAAGTGTAAACCCCAACTCACCAAATGTTTCTTCCCGTAGCTGGGAGGCCAGCGTTGTCC